ACATGAATAAAATGATAATCATATGCCTTACTACAACCCAAACATTTACAGAACATCCCACTTATACATCAGAAAAAGGAGAAATGAAAACTGAGGGTCAAAAGCTGCACACTCACTTAGGATACACAAGGGCCTAACACTGAAAAATACTTTTTTTAAGAAATAAAAAAAATGAAGGGCTGGCGAAATAGTTCAGCAGATTAAAGTACCTGCAAACAGGCACAGGGGCCAGGGGTTTGATCCCGGGCCTGCTGTGCTGGCGCCACCCCCGGGGCACGATGAGACACAATGGAGACTGGGTGTGCGGGCGCACGCCTGCAATCTCAGCTCTTGGGAGGCTGTCAACAGGTAGATCACTACAAATCTGATCTAGTATTGAGACCCTGAATACCCTGTACACCCTTCCCTAAAAATACAAAAAAAAAAAAAAATTAAAAATAAAATAAAATAAATTTTAAAATGGTATTATTTTAGCAAGCCTTGTTACTTCTTCATGAATCTGTTGTTTCCTATGAACAATGTGCAAGGGTTTTCAGACAATCCATTTAATCCTCAACGAAGTTTTGCAAAAGTTAAAGTCCAGTTTACCTGCCTAAGTTTGTACAAATTTAAGTATCTTGAGCATCCATCAGGAGCTGGAAATATAGCTCAGCAGCACAGCGCCTGCCTGGCAAGTGCAAGATCCTGAGTTCAATTCCCAGTACCCACCCCCCACAAAACAAAACAAACAAAAATCATTCATCAAGAAGACACCACACATTCTATTTTTAATGCCTACTTTTTACTTTCTCTTATTATATTTTTGTTTTGTAGCATGTTTTGCTATGTTTTGTCTTCGTACAAATTTACTCCTTTTTTCCTTTGGCTAGCCAACTTTACAATTAAGTACATTTAAACTACAATAAAAAAAAAAAAAGGGAGCTGGTGAGATGGCTCAGTGGTCTAAAGCACCTACTTAGAACAAGCTTAGCAAAGCCCAGGGACCACGGTTCAATCCCCAGCACCACATGCCAGCCAGCCCGCCCCCTGGTGGGCTGAGCTGGTCTCACACACACACACACACACACACACACACACACACATAAATAAAATTAAAAAAATAATAATAAAATAAACTACAATCACTTAATATCAGCTAAGAAAGATAGTGAAATTACTCTGTAGTTTCTTCTTCCCATTTTCTTTTCTAGTCTCAGCTCCCTATTTATTATATTTAAACTGCAATCATTTAATATCAGTTAAGAGAGCTAGTAAAATTACTCTGTAGTTTCTTTCTCCCAATTCCTTGTCTAGTCTCAGCTCCCTATTCACCATTTAAAATTATCCCTTTTAACTCTTTTTAAATATCAATTCAAGTACATTTTCTACTGTGTGTGTGTGTGTGTGTGTGTGTGTGTGTGTGTGTTTCTGTGGCAGTGTCTCACTATATAGTCCAGGCTAAACTTGAACCCACTATGTAGCCCAGGTTGGCTTTGAACTTGTGATGATTCTAATGACTCAGCCTCCCAAGTATCTGGAATTACAGGTGTGCACCACTACATCTATTTTTTACCTTTCAAAATGAAAAAGCACCTGCTGGCATTGAGGCTAACATGGTGGCACACACCTGTAATCCCAGTGCTTGGGAGTCTGAAAACGGGAGAATCACCACGAATCTGATCTATTTAGCAAGACCGTGTAGACCCTTTACTAAATACATAAGGAATTTTTTAAAAGAATAAATAAAATGGAAAAGCATTTGCTAATTTGATAAAGATAACAGCAAGATAATACTTGAACAGTTTTTCTGTTGTCTTAAGTAACACACTACTTAAGCAGACTTATACCTTTTTTTCATGCTCTCCAAATAATTCTAAAGCGTCTTCACTTATTTTTGAAAATTTTCAAACCTGGATGGAAGTTCTACCCCGTATATCCTTGAACCTGGGGCCTTGTATGTTGCATATCCCTTAAACTGTAGGATAAAAATGATTTTTTATTATACAACTCTAAATTGTATTTGTATTCCTTTTATTTTATTTTACTTATTTATTTTTTTGGTGGAACTGGGGATTGAACTGAGGCCCTCGCACTTGCCAGGGAAGGGCTTATTCCACTGAGCCATCTCCCTGGCCCCTGTATTCCTTTTATATTTTCATCATTGAACTTGAACAGTGTAACAGTTGTTTTGTATCTCTGTGTATGTGTGTGTGTTTTGAGACAGGGTCTTTCTATGAAGCTCATGCTGACCTTGAACACACTATGTAGCCCAGGTTGGCCTTGAATTTGCAGCAATCCTCCTGTCTCAGCCTCTTGAGGGCTGGAATTACAAGCATGTATTAGCAAGCTTGTAATGGTTTATTCTTTAAGTCTCCTTTTTTATCTTTTCATCTTTTGAGACAAGGTCTTGCTCCATAATTTAGGCTGTCCCTGATCTTACTTTGCAGCCTAAGTTGGCCTTAAACTCGTGGCGATCCTCCTGCCTTAGACTCCTAAGTGCTGGGACTACAGGTACATGTCACCAAGTTCAACTCCCTTTTAATCTTAAAAAGGTTGAGAGCTGGAAAGATAAGTGCCAGTAACACAAATGCCTACCTGGCAAGCACAAGGAGCTAAGTTCATCTAGTACCAAAAAGAAAAAAAATGGGCAGGGGCGGGGGGTGGGACTGAATGTCATACTTGTATTTTCTCTGAACTTTCTAGACTTACCTCATTTTAAAAGTAGTAGCAGCCAGTTGTGATCATCCTTATCTGTAATCCTAGCATTCAGGAGGCTGAGGCAGGAGGATTCCATAAATTTATAGCCAGCCTGAACTATATAGCAAGACCTTGTCTCAAAAAATAAAATAAATTTTAAAAGATTTAGCTGGGCATGATGGTGCATGCCTGTAATCTCAGCTCCCAGTAGGCTGAGGCAAGAAGATCACTGTGAGTTCAAAGCCACCCTTGGCTACATAAGTGAGTTTAAGGCCAGTCTGCACTAAACAGCAAGACCCTGTCTCAAAAATTAGGTATAATTCTATAAATAGAATAAATAGATATAGGGACCATTATTCCCAAATTTGGTCTTCACTGATTTTAAAATAAAGCCAGAGATATTGCCCAGTGCCTTAAGTGCTTGCCTAGCAGGTGCAAGGTCCTGAATTAAATCCCTGATACTGAAAAAAAAAAAAAAAAAAAAGATTTTAAAATGCAGCCTCTTGCTGAGGAGATAGCTAAGTAGAAAAAGCACTTGCCTAGCAAGCACAGGGTGCTGAGTTCAATCCCTGGTACCGTAAAAAAAAAAAAAAAAAAAAAACCAGCCTCCTTTTTGGAATGTTTATAACCTATTTTTTAATCAATTTTTCATTTGCTGTAATCCAATCCAAAGTCAAAGCTCTCTTAGCTGTCTCTGACATATAATTGCTTATTTCAGATAAGAATATCATTTAGATATTCTCCCAAATGATTATCTTTATAACATTTTAGATATCTAAAGCCTCCATCATTTAGGGACTACAAATGTGGTTCAGTGCTAGATCACTTGACTAATATGCTCAAAGCGGGGGCCTGGCCCTAGCTCAGCTCTTTAAGTGGCTGCTTCCACAAAGCTGTCAGCCTCAGGTTGCTGGAGTTTGAACCTCACACCTCTCCAGCTGGCCAAAAGTGCCCTGAAGGCATCCGAGGAACCAAAAAAAAAAAAAAAAGCCTAATATGCTCAAAGCCTTAGATTTGATCTCCAGCTCTAGATAATAAATCATCTATCAGTATCATAACTATTTTTCCATACCAATTTATAGTTTCAATCAGAAATATGCCACATATTTACTATCTCCAGTAGGCATAATTCATTTGCTTTTGGTTTTTCTGAGACAAGAGTCTTGCTATGTATGTAGTTCAGGTTAGCCTTGAATTTACAATGTAACCCACACTAGTCTTGAACTCACAGTGACCCTCTTGCTTCAGGCCTCCTGATTATAAAGATTCTTACAATGTATAACATAGGGATGGCGAATGGACTGAGGGAATAAAGGGGATCAGGCCTACTCATGCTTGGAAACCGAAATGAAGAAAAGGAGAATCATGCCTGTAATCCCAACACTCATGAGGCTTAGGCAGGAGGATCACTGAGAATTTGAGATCACCTTGGACTAGATAGTGAATTCAGGCAAGCCTGAACTACATATTGATACCCTGTCTCAAAAAAGCAAAAAACAGAACAGGTTGGGAGTATAGCTCCCCATAGAGTACCTAGATTGCATAAGGCTCCAGGTTTGATCCTTGATACTGCCTCCCAAACCATCTCTGCTATAAATACTTTCTAGACCTCTCAGTCTTACTACTTAAAAGATTCAGCAGAGTGAGCCTACTTAGTATTACCAGGCTGGGGATGTAGCTCAGTGGCACAGTGCTTGCCTGGCAAACACAAGGTCCTGAGTTCAATTCCCCATACCAAAAAAGAAAAACAACTATTAGCAAGAGTTCTCTTCTTCTTCATTAATCATGTGATGTCCACTTACTTAAAAATAAAAGCAATTGTACTTCAGGGTATCAAAAGTTGGCATTTCTATCAGTAGTCCAAATTAACTACTACATTTTTTACCATCATTTATTTATTTACTTACTTACTTACTTGGTACAAGGTCTTACTATGCAGCTCAGACTCATAGTGGTCCTCCTGTCTCAGCCCCCACTCCCAGTGCTGGGATTATAGGTGTGCACCACCACGCCTGGTTTTGGGGGCAAGCACAACATGTGTACTGGGGATTGAACCTGGGTCCATGCATTTGCCAGGCACGTATTTAGACCGCTGAGCTATATCCCCAGCCCTAATTACTACATTTTAAAACCCAAGTTCCTGAGGGTTTATCTTTTAAAACAACACGCAGAACAAAAAATATAGAAATCCAGTTTTTCAAATGAAAATGTTACCTCCACATCTGTTTGCTTTCGTAGTTCTTCTATCATGGTCATAGTTTTATTCAAAGTAGTATAAATGCGGCTCTTAATCTCTTTCTGTTCAATAGCAACAGGTTTAAAATGTGCGTACAAAGTTTGGTATTGAGACTTTATGGCTGATAATTCCTTTATGAGCGTTACTGGATTTTTCTACATCAAGAAAAAAAGTTCAGAAATATTAAATAATGGAATGGACAAATGAAGCTTCTTAATAATCGAAATATATCAAACTTTCTATTATCTATTTAATTGAACACTGTTCATATGTCTACAACTATATGACAGGATGGAACAGTACAAGCCCTAGAGCATATTATCAAGGAATTTATAGTCTAGGTGTAGAAATCCCCCACAGACAGACACACACACATCAATATTAAACAGCAAATAAGATCATTTTACACAGATACATTTGATGCACAGTCCACAACTACACATTATTTTCTTCATTTTCAATCTTCCTTTTTTCTTTTAAAGAGAAAAAATCTTTCAAAATAAGGTATTAGGAGGGTAATAATGGTTAACACATTACATATCCACACATTATTTCTAAATACAATTTTAAATGTCAAAAAAATAAAAAAAAAAAAAATTTAAATGTCATTCAGGAAATTAAAGGTAATACTTTGATTTATTCTCAAGAATAGGATAACTTGAAACCACTAATTATAAAATTAATAAACACACTGCCATGTTTTATATATATAAAATAAAATCCATGCCAAGACAAACAACTACATAAATTATATTGGTTTTTCACATTCATTTTATTTTATTTCATTCTGTATGTGTGTGGCCAGCTCAGCCCACCCTGGGGGGAGGGCTGGCACAGCCTGTAGTGCAGAGGATCTAACCGCAGTCCCTGTGCTTGCCTAAGCAGGTGCTTTAGACTGCTAAGCTAGCTCGCCGGTCCTCACATTCATTTTAAAATATAAATAACTACTGCCAGGTATGGTGGTGTGTGCCAATACCAGCACTTGAGAGACTAAAGACAGGAGGATCACATGAGTTCAATGCCAGCCTGGGCTATACACTGAGTTCAAGGCCACCTTGAACTGCACAGAGGCCATGTCTTTAAGTAATAAATGTGTCTGTATATGTGTGTGTGTGTGTG